ACTTGAGAGAGGCATGAAGAAAGATAAACACACAAATTGATTCACTTTTGCTTTTTTGTTGTTTTTAACTTAAAAAAAGAGTAACGTTTGGTAATGACGTTTCTAATTATAGATTTTGGAGTTACTAAAATATTGAAAACTGATGATTTTTTTGCTACTAACGTAATGATGACTGCAGCTGCAGATCAATGTACCGGAAACAGTTACATTGTTCAGTTTCCAGGTTGTATTGTAACTTGAACCGGGTCAGATTTTACATATTTAACTAATAAATGTAATTATGAAAAATATAGCCAAAAATATAACAGTGTGTTATGTGTATATAAACTTTGCTTAGCTTATTTATTCAGAATTACAAAGGAAGCAAAATCCATAGACCTAAACGTTTTTATAAATGGTTTGGGAATGTAAAAGAAGAAGAGAGGATCAAACTCTCCAAAGGTGTCTCAAAAGCTAATTTCTGTACATACAAAGAGAATTGATCTTAAAGTTTTTTTCTTTTGTCTCACTTGCGTGCAGAGTGATAGAGCTCAATGTACTCAAGTGCAGGACGGTTCCATGACCAGTCTTGCTCCATCACTGTCTTGCACAGTGAGTTAAACCACTCTCTACCATCGTACCACGCGGATATCGCCCTGCACAAAAAAAGAAAGAAAGAAACACCGGTTCATAATGCTCGAATCAAAGAGAGTGTTGGTTTAGATTTTGGTTTGGTTTACCTATTGAGAGCATAATCCACACCAGGAGCATCAGCCCCGTCGAAGCTGAAGCCATTCGGTTCTAGAACTTGAGCTTGTGCCCTTTCTTTATCATGGTCGACATCAAAAACTGTGTCATAGAGCCCTATATTGGACAAAGATAAATCATTACCTTAACGTCAGCTTAGTCTTGAGGGAAATGGGTAAAGCTTTAAGAGTTTCAATCACAGCTAAAAACCATTACCTCCAGTTTTTCTTACGACTGGTACAGCGCCGTATCTCATGGCTATGAGCTGTGTCAGTCCACATGGCTCAAATATCGATGGGACGAGAATAAAGTCAGACCCCGCGTAAATCTGGAGAACAGAACACAAAAAGACTCAGAGCAATACCGAGAGCAAAAGAGCGAAAAACGAAGAAAGGCTTTGTTATTATTTTTTACCAAATGGGAAAGAGGCTCATCGTAGGTTAGAACAAGCCGAGCTCGGTCCCCGTGAGTAGAATGCAATTGGTTTGCCAAGTTTACAAAATCATTTTGGATCCGAGGATCTGGAGCTGAACCTAACAATACAACCTGCTTTCAAGAAGAAAAAGAAAACAGTAAGGATTGTGAAAAGTTCACAACAGGACTTTTTAAAGGTCGAATAAGGCTAGAAAAGGACCTGTCCATTCCGTTCCAAAGTACGCCAAATAGCGTGCTTGATCAGATGTATTCCTTTCTGGTGAGTTAAGCGCGTAATAATTCCTACTACCGGAAGATCAGCATTCTTTAGTCCAAGTCTGTTTTGCAATTCTTCCTTGGCTGCTCTTTTGCCTTCTACGGCATTCTCTGATGTATAAGGTATCTAAGAACCACACAAAGTGTTCAGACATCACAAGATATAGCATGAGTTTGAAAGACAGGAAAGGAGAGGATGCGATGAAGCTTACGGGAATGAAGTTATCGTTGTATGGATCCCATATATCTGGGTCGATCCCGTTTATTATTCCGTGAAACTTATATAAATGTGGAGAGATTACAGAGTTTCCAGCAACTTCCTTGGCATACGTTGGCGAAACCTAATAATGTTAAGAGCAGACTGAATCATTTTCAATCTCAGCTTTTCAGGAGAAAAAGAATAAGTGATATTTTAAAGAAGAATGTTTTCAGGACTTACAGTTGTAGCTTTGTCTGCAAATGTCATGGCTTTACCAATGGCATTTGCCCCAAATTCCAAATTATGAATTGTGAAGACAACACGGGTCTTATTTAAACCATAATGCGTGTAATGATCCTTGAATAACCATGAAACCGGAGCACTTGACCAGTCGTGACAGTGAAGAATGTCCTGTAGATGTTGAGACCACGGGTTAGAGCCGCTAGTTAGAACAAAGTATAAGACTTTCTATGAGAATTCTCGATAATTCTACAGGAGTGGGACGAGTAGACGTACTGGATGAAAACCTCCTTGAAGAAGAAACTCAAGAGCCGCGTGACAGAAGAAACCGAATCTTCCTGCATCATCTGCACAACCATAAACACATCCTCGCTGAAACAATCTGCAACAGTCAAGCAACAACTTCATGCCCTCAAGAGATGATGAATGCATTGTGGAAACAGCTTAAAGAAAAATCTATAAAACTAACCCATTTTGCGGATCTAAGAAGTAAACCGAAAGACCTTCCACCTTTCCATGCCAAACTTTTATTTCAGTTCCTCCCCAGTGATAGCTTCTGTTGAATTGCAAGTCCTTCACCTATTTTTCACCAAACTAAGTTCAAAGAGAGATATACAGAAGATAATGGACGTGCAAGCGGAAAATATGAGAAGATATCGATCTTACAAAGTTGTGCTTTAAGCAATCATACTTTGGAAAAATGATATCCACATTATGATTTAATTCTTGAACAGCACGAGATAGACTAGTAACAACATCACCTAGGCCTCCAACCTGCAGGTAATAAATAATAAATATACATAAACCTACGATATATACAATGTTTTTTTTATGGCTATAAACCTGACATCTTACGGTTACCTTAGCAATGGGTGCCATTTCAACAGCAATATGAACAATGTGTAATGGTGGTTCCTTGGCAATACCTCCCACAACCGGTAAATGGTAATCCAAGCCATTTCTGTTATCGAATATTCCGCCATCCTCTTTCTCAGAGAACACAAAGTCCATCATGTAAGCATCCAACGGGACCTTAGCTGCAAAAAAAGAGAAACATTAGTCACATATCATGAAACAGTCCCTGGAATGGAAATCTTTTACAAACCGAAATCTTACCTGTAGTCTTCACATGCGAGCTTTCATCATCTGCTACTTCCATTTTCTGAGGTGGCAAAGGACCCAAGCGGTGAGTCCAACGATTAAAAGAGCCTCTAAACCAAACATCAGGTTTTCCGTTCAAAACCGTGTTGGAAGGATTGTAGAAAACTGTCACAGGGTTTCCCGCTTGAATCTCTAGAGGCTCGGTGTAAACCACATCTTTCTGGGAAAGCAGAAACTTTTTAAGTGTTCCTTTCTTAGTTTCGGCTTTCAAGCGAGCTGTTTTCTCCATCTACCAAAAAAAAAAAAGATGAAGAAATGTAAATTTAATGTAGTCAAGAAAGATGACAAGAATGGAAGCAATATGGTAAAGAGAATAAGCCGGTCTTTCTGTTAGATATATTGGGCACTAACCTTGACACGCATAGCTTCCTCTTTTAAACGCCTGTCCTCTTGAAGTTTCCTAAACACCAGATTTTCTTCCTCTAACCAATAAATCTCTTCTGGGATTCTTCGAGGAACAAGTGCGTGGAAATCTTGGTAACGATTATTGTCATACAGAACCGCTCCTTTAGGCGGTCCATCAGCAAAGACCCAGTCAATGACTAAAGCACCACGCGGCACTATGACTGCATATTGAAACGCAAAAGATCAATAAGATAAATGGCAGAAACAGGACATGTCACTACAGTAATGTATCAAGAAATGCAGGTTTGTTCGAAAAGATAAGAAAGCTTCACATATACCTTCAGCGAACCACCAATCTTTGCTCTTTGGATCAGCCTTTAACTCAGCATCAACAAGCTTCTCAACGATAGATAATCCATCAACCCAATTATTACAACCTCCATGTAACCAGATTTCTTTAGCATTAGCCAGAGGACCTGAGCTTTTATTGTAATATAGCTTCACTTTATCTTCAGCTTTGAAATTGCTCGGCTCAATGTACCAAACATTCTCAACCGAGATTACAGCTTGCTGAAGAGCCGGTTGAAGCATTTCACGTCTTTTCTGAGTCTCCGCCTTTGCTTGTGCTCTATCAGCTTCAATTGCAGCCTTTCGAGCTTCGATTTTTCTCTTCTCTTCCTCTTGCCTTTCTCTCTCAGCTTCCTCCTTAGCTAACTTCTGTTGCTCTCTCCATTTCTCTTCTAAAAGAAAATTCTCAAACTCAACTTTATCCATCCCACCTTTTACTTCTACACAGAAATCTTTTGAGCCATTGTTGTCATATACACTTTGCCCATTGAAAAACACAAAATCCATTTTATATGCTTCTTTGGGGATATGAAGTAGACATGACCACCAATCTCCATGGATCCATGTCTTATCCAATCTCCTTGTGAAAGATTTCCACCTCCAGTCGTTAAACGCTCCCATGATCAAAATATCCGGTTCGTTGTTCAGAGTCGATAGACTCCTGTTGAGAAACACTTCTATGTCTTCATCGGGTTTCACAATAGTTGGATACACAAACATTCTATCACCTCTAGCCAAATTTTCCACTGCAAGCGCTTCTATTTCCTTCCTACGAAGGTTCTCTCTTTCAACTTTTAACTTCTGTTCTAACAATTCATCATCCTCGGTTGTTTTCTTATCCAAACGGTCACTTCCGTCTTCGATTTCTGACCTATCTAACACATTCCTCTCGCCAAAAACAACATAACCTTGTTTCTTCTGCACATCCACTTTATCTTCGGGTAACTTACTATCCCCTGAAACCTCGTTTGTTACTGTAGAAGTGGCATTGCTATCTTTTTCACCGTTCTTCTTCTGAATTCTTTTCTGTGAACTTCCTACCGTTGTTCGTTGCCCAAAACCTCTAGGAGCTGAGCTTTTCGGTCCTGAAGCTGCCATTCTTCCTTGCTTCTTCCTTGAAAAATCTTGGTATAAAAAAAACAAAGAAATGCATCAAAAGAACTGAGTCAGTAATGAAAGTTTGACACTGTGAACCGCCGATTCTTGACTCTTAACCTGCACTTGCCGTGATCTGTTGCAGAAACCCATTTGATTTGTATTGACTTTCCAACGACGCAAGCTGAAAACCAAACATGTCAATAGTTAGAAATCGATTATACAACTGTTCAATCACCTTTCTACAAGTTCTAAGCCAGAAAGTAAATAAGTAACACAGCCAAGAACACCTGAACTAATTAATCAACACCAGAAAACTAAAATGAAAACCATTAAGAAATTGAGACAATTTCATTCCTCCAAAGTCCAAACCGTGAATCTTCGGCTCGGGCTCTTTAACTTAAAGCTCATAGTCCCCAAAAATCCCTTACCTCTCCCCACAACTAGGTTATTCAAAGTTTAAGAATCTCATTGCAGTGAGGAATGTAGCAGTAAAAATTGGACATTTCCTACAGAAATCAACTCAGTTCTTAGAATCCACCAAATCCAAAACGAGTGTTCTAAGTTCTAACATGAGACCCTACCAAAGTTGAATCTTCTACAAAAAAATATAGTACATTCTGTCAAATTTCGATTCCAACTAAAGTCTTCCTAATCAAAAAGGCGATCTCACTGAAGAAAAGTAGAACACTTGAGCACATCAATTCCCAATAAAGTAGAATCCAAAGATATAAAAATATAGATAGACGAGTATCCATGGAAAGGGGAAAAGAAACTCTCATACAGTAGAAACGGAGCAAGTATTGATTTTGAGCCGACCCTTTTCTTGAAAAACCGGTCTGAGACTCGCCGGTCTCTGTATCTGCCAACACACTTCCATGGCTGCCGA